AAATGTCAGCTCAGCATTGGAGCTCATTAAACTAAAACTGGGAAGAACACAAGGAAACCCCCACTTGTCCATGAGGTGTAGCCACAGAGCAGCGGCAGAGCCGTTGGGACAGTAGCAGAGGAGATTTATCCACTGAGAGTCGTGGCCTTCGGCCTGCGGTTGGCACTGAGCTTCTGCCATATCAGCCTTCCTCCCGGATAGCATTTGGGAATGCGGAGTGCTTTGGTTGGTTAGTTGGTTGCTAACAAGGCCTGAGGTACTAGTGGTGTCTGGGTCTCATGCTCCCCACAGGCCCTTCCCAGTTCTGAGTTTCTATAAATGAGTGGCTTTTACATACCTGCGGCTAATGGTACCTATTCGCAGGAAGGGTATTTGGTCCAAGTTGAGGTCTAAGTGTCTTTCAGCCCACAGTCTTCATTAGTGCTCTGTTAACTGTTCTCCCTTCAGTCTGCCCTACTTCCCTCCATTCAGCTTCTTTACTCTCACCAGACTCATCTTACTAAAATACAGAGTTGAGAGAGCTCGGCTGTTTAAACATTTTTAATAATGTCACATTTTCTGCCAGGAGAAATTCCAGCTTTTTTGTATGCCATGAAAACCCTTTACTCTTTGGCTTCTCCCTGCCTTGCCAGATCCCATGTCTCGCTAATACGTGATTCTATAGCGGGCATCCTGCCATACTCACATGCCTTCACACATTTGTCTTTGTTCTCATTGTGAGTGTCTCTTCCACTCTAAAGAGCTTTCTGTGTTTTACCTATCCAAGAAGACCCTACGAAATCCTACCTGACTTGTCCCTCCACTTGTTTTCCCATACCTGCTCTCTAGCCATAGATACACATTCTCTTCCTTGAGAGAGGCAGGCACCTTTGTCCTGCAGGGACCTTACCCAGTCACCCTTCTGAAATTCTTTTTTCTCCCTCATCCACAGAACTCTGGCAAATCCTTTAGATCTCTGTTGTCAGGTCAGCTTCCTTAGGGAATCTTTCCCTGACCCAAGATTAAATTAAGATATTTCCTTGGTAAATGATTGCATAGCATCCTGTAATTTTCTTAGGGAAATTGTCCTCCAGTTGTAATTATAGAGACTTTTGAGTATTATTAATTCAGTGATTGTTTTCCTTGATAGAGTTTAAATTCTATGAGATCAAGGACTGTGGTCCATCTTGTTCAGTATTGCTAACTTCAGTGCCTACCACAGTGACTGGCACACATCAGGAGCTTAACAAACATTTTTATGAATGGACAGATAGCAAAATCCTGATGGCCCAGGAAGTGTGCTTGCCATTCCTTCCTGTGACCTCCTATTTTATATCCGACATCCCTTTGTTACAAAAGTATGCTCTCTGTGTTTGAGTTTAGTGAGAAGCAGGGCTGGTGTGTCTTGCTTTTGTATCTCCTAACATTTAAAGATCCTACTTCATTTTTATATGTCTGCCCCTATGACTCCTTCCTTCATTATATCTGTCAGTAGGGTGCAAGTATTTTTTAAGTGCTAAGTTGTGATACTGAGTTTTTGTTAGTGATTTTTACTAACACTGTAGCTTTTGTCATTGCCTTAAACTTTAGGGCTAAATTGTTGACATGGTGGTGTTGTCACTGTAAATCCTTCTAACAAACATACATTACCTACTGCATTCATACTGGTTTATTAAGGTGTGTTGTTTAATAGGCTTTGTTGGACTTATATTCTTACATGATTTTAATCTTGTAGAAAAAATTCAGTATATATATTGAACAAGTGCTAAAAAATTTTATAATGAGGCAAGTGAGATAGTGATTTAATATGTAGAATTTTATTTTACTGGCCTTTTTTCCTAATGCTTATATTCCTCAAAACATAGTGTTTTTTTAAAAATCAGTGTTATTAAGGTATACTTTATGTACCATAAAATGGATTACAAAATGATGCAGCTGTTGTCTTTTTTATTTTAAAAATTGTAAATCACTATTTTAAAAACATTTGGACATTGTTTTTCTTGTTTGTTTCTTCAAAATCCCTGCCCCATCCCTTGGCGTTATGTGGTGTGTCCTCAGTGGCGTTTTATTTGGCAGTGCCAGTGGAACATTCCTAGGGTGAGCTCCTATCGCAGCGAGCAGCATGAGCAAAAGTAAGGCAGTAGGACAGTTGCCTTCTCCAGGTTAACTGGGGCCAGTGTGTCTGGCTGTCACCGCTTGGGTGGTGGTAGAGGGGACAAGCAGGAAGTGCGTGGGAAATGAGATGAGGGTGGAGTGGGAGAGGACAGGTGGGACAGAAAAGAAAAGCCCAGGAGATGGCTGGTGTAATGGGAAAGCTGTTGGGGTTCTACGAAGGTAGGAAACACTTGATGAATTTTCTGAGTCTTCCATTAAAATCTGAGAATGGAGAAAGTATCTTCTGGGTCAGGTCTGGGGAGTACTGTGGGCTTTTTCCTTAAGTGTTTCTTTTTCTCTTTTGTCTTCTTTTGCCCCTTCTTCCTTTCTGAGTTTTAATTTTCATGCCTTACCTGGTGGGTTCTCCCTTAGTGCCAGGTGTGTTGTGTTGTGTGTGTGTGGAGGGGAATGCTGGAGTGCTTTGGTGCTCTTCCAGCACACAAGGGCGGAGTTATTGTTTGCCTTAGGGAAATTCTATTCAGAAGGTTCTTAGATGGCAAGTGATTCACTGCTTTAATGGGGAAGTAGAATTTTGAACCAAAGGTACCAATACTGTGTTAGCCTTTGGCTTTTGTCATCAAAAAAGGAGGAGTTGAATCATGACTTCCATTTTCTTTTTCTTTTTTGCAAGTTTCTATAGAAGTTTTTGATGTCAGGGTTATGGGTCATTGGAGTGAGTTTCTAGTTTTCTCAAAATATGTGTTACTTGGTTTCAGTGGGGAGCCAGAAAGCTACTCCCACTGCCTAAGGCATCCTTCCATGGCTTCGCAGTTGGAATCCAGTTTATGAGGCAGTTTGTGAACAGTCTTTATAGTAGAGAAGCCCTAACTAAATGTATTTTCTGTATCTCTGTCTCATGTAACTTCGAAAAATACTAATGTAAGGTAAATAATGTAAGATGGAGCTATTATAGGGAGATGGAGAAATGGCAGAGCAAGAGCACAAGAAGTTTTTTTAAATGGGTGAATGAAAACATAAATGGAATGTGATGGATAAATAAATACATGTGTTGGATGTGAGTACATCTGATCTTTTGTTTCTTGTAGGATTAGAGCAGCCGTTGTTGAATGTCAGAAAGTAAAAGTTTAAAAGTCCTTATTAATTTCTGTCCATATTCTCCCTTTGAATGATAACTAAATCTCACTGTTCTATTTGTTACCTTTTTCTAAATCTTTCAAGCACTACCATTTATCCCATCCCCAAAGAATGAGATTGTCTCAAATCTAAGCGTGGGTTCTGTGCCAGGCACCTAAACAGTGCTCATTTAACATGGAATGTGGTAAGGCTGCTTTAGAGGACACTGAAGTTGATGTTGCTGTCCATTTTATTCACAGCCCCTCTCTTCCTTCTAGTTTTCTTCACAGGATTTTCACTTCCGAGGAGGAGAAAAAGTGAATTATGTCACTTAAGCAAATATTAAAGAGTGAGAGTGGACAGAGATGTCTTAGAGCCTGGGATCATGTCTTCAGCCTCTGTTTTGAAACTGAAACTCCTACAGTTAAAAAAATCAGAAGTGTATAGTTTGATGTTCAGAGTCTGTTAAGTGCTTAAAATGCAATGATCTGTTATTTGACTTTCTTTTAATCATAAGCACAAAATGCATATTTGTATCAGGAAAGCTAGTGTGAATGCACCACAATGTAGATGACTAGAAAGGCTTCCTTTTCCACAGTGCTTTCTCACTTCCTTGCCTAGCTCAGAGGTAGAAGTTCTGGCCACCGTAATTAATGTCAGTAAGTTTGTGTTTGGAGGTTGTGGAGTGGAGACCAAGTACTTCAAGCAAAATCAGACATTTGGTGAATAGCTCTTTCGTGCATTAAGCAGTATGACAGCTGAACTTTGCATTCACTTCAAATAGGTGAAAAACTTAGCTTAATTTCTTAACTGGAATGAACTAAACCAGACTCTACAGCCATACACATTGCACATTTCACATCCCTTTGGTTCGTAAATCACCAAACCTAGTTGAAAGAAGTCCAGAGAGATGTATTTAGGTCTGATCTGAGTCTCTAGATACTAGTGTTCAAGTGTACTTCGTTGGGAACAATATTTACCTTTTGGAGGTCTTTGAGTAAACTCTTTAGCGTGTGTCCAGATGTGAGTGAGTGGTCGCCCCCGTGTAGAGACGTCTGTGCTACTTGCTTTTTCCATTGACTGTTAACAAAGATTACTCATATTAGTTCTTGCCTATTCTCTTTTGAAGTGAGTCGTGGCTGGAGGGATTTTCCTATGGTTTCAATCCTAGTTTTCCTAAAGAAAAGTAGCTTAAACGTTCAGTGATTGTATTGCATGTTAATTGGAATACTTGGAGTCCTTATTTTTTTAATCTCTTAAATGCAGCATTTCATGACAGGAATTAACACATGATCATTTTTCACATTTCCAGAAGAAGCAGATGTTGAATTCTCAATGACCTTCCTTCCAGTATCTACTGTAACAAATATCAGGAGAAAATTTTAAAACTAAGTACTTATAGGAGATAACTTTAAGAAATGTTTTTTTCTGTAGATGGCAGAGAGAAAAGGGAGTGCATCGAAGGTAGGGTGGTTTGGGGTTTGTTTTTTAGTGAAGACGTCGGTCCCAGTGTACTACTGACTGGCAGTTAAAGCTGAGTCTACTAAATGTAAGAGAGTGTCCTGCAAGAGGCCTGGACACGGCCCCCACACGGGGATGCTCAGTTACTCCTGTCATTGTGGACCTAGCTGAATACTGGATAGCGAGTCATCTATCACCTGGGGCTTGTGTTGGAAATCTGGAGACCCCCCAAATGCTGTTGTGCATGTAATTGAAGTTAGAGGACATGTTAGGGAAAGCTGTTCTGAGTAGAAAACAAATAATTGTATTCTGTTTCTGATCTTCATTTATAGCACCAGCAACAAGTGGTGCAGGCTGTGGAACGGGCCAAGCAGGTGACCATGGCAGAACTGAACGCCATCATTGGGGTACGTGGCCTTTCCATTTTAGCTCTGATCTTAGTGCTTGTCGTCAGCTCTCTCGCTCTCTCTTTAGAAATTTTGTTCCACCTGAGGGGCAAAGCACCATAGATAACCTTGAAGTGAAATTAAGCACTTTGCCTTCAGTCTCCTATGAAGTTCATGGCTGCCTCAAACCTTGGGTCCTGTTCTTACCAAATAAAATTGATGTTTCTGTGAACTATCCTCTAAGGAGCCAGGATAGTTTTGCTTTTTTCATGTTTCTTCCCTCTGTAAGCTTCTGTTGCTCACCTAGGTCAGAAAAAATGGTACCTATCACCCTGATATTAAAATAACCTGACTTCTTTTATCTTTTGTCAAATGATAGAGTATCTTTATACCACCTTTAGTGAAATAAGTATTTTCACATCTTCCCTACTACATTTTGTCCTGTGATTAGTGTTTATGAGCCAGTGTCCATTTGTAGTAGGAATAATAGATGAATTGCATTTTTTGAAAAATCAGTGGCCCAGTTAGTAAATCCTTCCCAGCAACAGTGGTATTAATCATAAATAGAAATTCTGCCGGGAGTCGTGGGTTTGGGTAGTCACTTCATCTCCACTTACATTTTTGTTTTCTCACATTAAGGTAACATGTAATAACAGAATGTACTAAAACAGAAATAATAAGAAAGGGAGGGACCTTGGCTGTGAGGAGTACTCTGCTCACCTTGCATGTACAGGCAGTTCCTTAACACACTGCTCTGATGTAGACACTGTATTTTTCTCGTTCTGCCCCTCCTAATGCACACTTTCTTTTGTGTATAGATTGTACACAAAAGTCTTTTCTCTTTTTTCCCCTTCGTGTATCAAACACACTTTGAAATGCTAATTATTCCATTTACTTTCATTAAAATTCAAATTGCTAAGTGAAGTTGCGGATAAGGGTCTCTGATAATCCATCTGAAGTGAGGACGCTGCTTCAATTATGCCTCTGTCTTCTAACAAGGAAATCAGAACTCTGGATCACTGCCGATTGTGGGGATGCAGTCCTCTGATTGTAGCTTGTTTTTTAATGGGCTGTTTGGAGCTCTATTTTATGTCCCTCTGACCACAGGGAAAAATGGTAGTAAATTAGCAGACATGATAACTGGAAGAGAGTAAGAGTGCTCCTTGGAAAGAAGAGGCTGAATCAGAACAAGCCAGGCAGAATTGGAAATAGCATTTGCCATAATCTTCTGTGCTAGGTGGGGGCAGGGAGATACTAGAGATGAATGCGATTCATAATTAGTTATTTCCTGAAACTCCTGGAAACAACAGTATATTCAGCTTTTTTTGAGTTGAGAGAGCTTCAATTTTAGAGGTTAAGCATCTGTGCATGTACCAGCCATGCTTGCCTGCAGTGTGTGTGTGTGGTGGGGGCATGGTTTGGATATTTTTGTTACTAAATCTCCCACAGGTTGAGGAGGGGATGGCACCTAACATTTCTCATCTCTGCACAGTCCCGGTTTTAGAGAGAGGAAGTCTAGTGGTGCCTGGTAAGGAGGGCCAGCAAGCTCCCGTCCAGCTTAGTGTTTATCTTCGTATCAGTGGCCGCACAACCACCCTACCTTATGTAGGAGTGGCAGCCTTTTCCAGGAAAGAGGAATCCTTTTTTCTTCCTTTTGTCAGACCTTTTAGTGACTGTAGTGGAAAGATTAAACTGAACCAAAACTACACTGTTTTGTGTTGGATGTTGGTTAAAAATTTGAGGAAGATAGAAAATACAAACAAGTTCCCTTCCCTTCCTTCATCATATCAAATGTATTTTTAATATTGTTTTATATCTGTTTCATTTTTACAGACTTGTTTCGGATGGGATGACAGATTGCCTTTTCTCAGGGAAATGATTTATTAGATTACAGCCAACAGACATTGTGTATATCTGGATTTAATTATTCAAATAAGTCTAAGTTTCTCATCTGAAAGCTTACTTGAACTCAGTAGACCTGCATCCTGTCAGGCAGCGTGTGCTGTGTAGATGGTGCAGCTTGTGGACCTCTAAACTCTTTGTACGTGGGCAGAGAGTGGAGTCGAAATCACATAGTCTGACTATTCTGAAAGATACGTTGCCAAAGTGGAAGTAGAAATACAAATCTAGCAGGTTTAGGGAACCACAGTGTAAGTGAGAAGGAAGGAGCCGGTTACAGAGACCCTCAAGGAGCTTCAGCTTGCTGGTTCTTTGGTCTTCCCAGCCCTGGTAGCACCTCCCGCTTCCAGTAGTTTCTGGAATAGTAACGTTGTGGCATTTCAGATGCACACACATGTTGTGTATGCTCTTGGGCATGCATGTGTTGTAGAGGGGTGGCATGTCTGCCTTGCTACCAAAAATGAAGAGGGCTCAGGTTTAGGGTTTTGTTTCTCGCTTTGAAGAACTTGCTTGACAGTGCTCCTCTGTGCTGAGGGATTGACAGTTCTCCCAGAGGCAGAGACCCACCCTGGTCCCTGCAGACCTTTATTTATTTATCACTATATGTGTATCTGTTTTATATGTATGCACATCATCCAGACGGGAGCAGTGTTCCCAGATTTAATGAAATCTGATGAAGCACCTTTTTAACTCTGCAATATTATTCTACCTTCATTGGTAAATGAGCCAAATCAGTGATCCATGCAGTTTAAATGCAAAATGCTGAAGTGAGCCTGAAACCTGGAGAGGCGGCTGTTCTCCTGACAATAAGCTAGTTGTGTTTAATGGAATGAAACACAGTTATAATGATTTCTTTCACAGGTCATGTTCAGTTTAAAACTGTTGATAGATTGAAATATGTTAAATATCATTTATCTTTTATTTATAAGGAAGAAAAGCAGGAAAATTCCTGTGTTGTATTTTATAGTTAATTTTTGTGTTTTTATTTCACATTTCCTTGACACTGTCCCTGAGCTCCCCTAAATGGGCTGGGGGAATGTTATATATCTACTCGGATCTTGTCATGTGTCCTACTAGCCACTGTGTTTTTAAATTAGAATCTCTGCGAGATCGCACTGTTGGAACAACACAGAAATTGTAGTTTTAAATCAGTAATATGATCTAATTAGAAATGATGTTTTCATTTCCTGTATTATTAAATTGAGTCATCTGACTATCTTAAAATGTTTTTTGAATCCATTACACTATATAATCAGTGCATGCTGTGTGAATGTGGTTGTGCTTAAGAAAGGAGGCTAACTTGGAACCTTGTAAGAGGAATTGGAATGAGAAAACTACCATTAAGGAAAAAAAGTTGTGTTAGTGTGAACACTGGAAACGAAAATGTTTGGCTTGTGAAATTAAAACAGTGTGGTTCTTTTGGAAATCTTCCTGCTACCTTTTTGACCCTAAATCTTTGAGGAAAAAAAAAATTAGAAACATGTGCATTGAAATAAAAAGCCTCCCACTGAAGTCCCTTAAGAACAGGTATGCCATGTTGCTGCAAGAAAATGCAGTTTAGCACTAGAAGTGCTGAACCTCAATTTTTAGCAGTGACATTTTAATGATAGGAAGTCTGCAAAATTATTTGCCATCAATTGTGAAGGCAATAACAAGCCTTGGTGGTTTTTCACACTCTCCGTGTTAAGTGCTTTCAGAATGACAGCGTAAACTGTGTTAGAGAACTCCAAGGAAGTAAAACTGATTAAAATGTTCATGCTTGAATGGTGCTGATGGAATAGTTCATTTGGACTTTCTCTACCTCCTGCAGCTCAAGCTGAAATATTAAAATTCAGTGGATTTAAATCTCTCTCCTCTCAGCTCAGGAAAAAAACATTACATTTTAATAGGTTTTAAACCCATAATTCATTGGTTTGGAGCAGCACTATTAAATCTATTTAAATATTACTTGTATTACTAAGGAAATGATTTAAATGACTTTGCCTTTACCTCCTGTGTGTTTGAGTTTAAAAAAAGAGAGACAATACCTTGGAGGGGTTTTTCCCCACTTGTAGCATTTCGTTTTATTGTCCTTGTCATCGGGTCATCTCTTATTTATATATTTGTGTGTGCATCTGTTCATTCATTCATTCAAATGGATATTCTGACAGGAGGGTCTTGCCATGTGACAGTTTTAAAACAGTATCCCTCCTTTTCCATTATAGATTTCAGAATTGCCACTCTAAATGTCAAAGGCATTTGGACGAGCCACTGTGGTAATTTCCACAAATTAGCCATTAGGCAAAAAACTGAAAGGTTCAGGTGTGTGGTGATACATAAAGCAAGTGTGAGTGTGTCGTCCTCTCCCTTACATCCCTTACATCGCAAGTGTGTACTGTAGACACCCCTATAGGCGCATCACCACCATTAACACAAAACTTGAAATAAAATTTATAGTACTACTTTCTTTTTTTTTTTTTTTTTTGGTTTTTCTCCGGTACCGGGAACCGAACTCACGACCTTGCGCTTGCCAGGCAGGCGCTTTTGCCGCTGAGCTAAATCCCCAGCCCAGTACTACTTTCTTAACAAGAATGAAAATGGGTTAAAATATCCAAGAGCACTATTTTCATTCCTTTGTGTTTGTTCATGGAGGGCTTCCAAAGGGTCTGTTAATTTTATTGTACTTTGGCTGTATTCACAGAGCTAGACCAGCATTGTCCGTCACGGGCCTACTTTCTAGCTTGCTGTCCTTTTCTTTTACCATTTCCCCTTCAACGTAAGTCCCGGGGTTGGGTAACAGAGTGAAGGTCTTGTTTCCCTCAGTAGTTTTTTTCTTTTTGCGGTACCAGGGATTAAACTCAGGAACTTGCACTTGCCAGACAGGCGCTTATGCCGTCCCTCAGTAGTTTTTTGGGGAGGGGAGTGCTTTGTGGGAAGCCACCTTTCAAAGGGTGCCAGCAAGGTGCAGTTTGGAGTCTGTAGACATAAGACAGACTCAAGAATACCTGCTAGTTTGAATTTGCCTTCTGCCTGGGTTCACTTTCCCCAGGCTCCCTCGTCTTCTGGGGTCATTTTGAAATTACCTGTAGCCAAACCCTGGCCATCCATTTAGTGGAGAACCTAAGACACAGGATTTGACTTCC